AGATAATGGGTTAACACTTAAAACTAGCTGAAATATAACATTCCTGAATTGTAGAAGAGATTTAGACAAAGATTGAATATTTTTTACGTGATATTTGGAGACTGGAGTGTATGCAACAGTATAAACACATTAAGTATATAATTCAATATTTGTAGAAGAGTTTAAACAGGTGGTATGCAATTTTATTTTCTATAAATACATATACTTATCGATAATCTGTTTATATCACAAGTGATTCAACAAGAGGCTCACAACAGTCACTATACAAGGCACTTTACATATATGGTGAGTCACAGTTACTAGTCTTGCTCCACACCCACCCAACTAAGCGGCAGCTTTACAGTTCTCTCTGGTCTAAATACTTATTGTTTCTAGTGCACTCCTTAAAGGTCAAAGCTCGTTTCCTCTCATATTTTGTATCTAACTTCCTCTGACTTACTTGCACCAAGATTCCTTTCACTCACTCACTATGTGTGTACAGCTTCCTCACACCCTCACCATATGTACCCAGCATCACATCTTCACTTGAAACTGTGTATGGAGTCTGGGGGGCCTAAGGGCGTGTATGTGTTCTTGTGTTAGAGGACTAGTGAAGCGTTTCATGAAATACACATATGTTGCTCTATAACTGTAGAAACTCTATAATATATATATTGTAATTATATTTTATGTGCGCTTTACTCAATACACCAACGATACACATAACTTGAGAAAGTGTGTGTGACAGGAAGGGAACTATGCTGGTGGAATCCCACCTTTTTTATCTAATGTATTTGTGTGTGTGTTCTTATCTATGTAGATAAGAATCGAGTTTCAAACCTGGACTCCGTTTTTTAGCTGTCGGTCATAACATGGACTAATCCCTCGACAGTTTCGGACTACGTTCAGGATTAAATTTACTTGTTAGGCTGTAAGGTAGTGTGGTAATCTTAATAGCCCTCCAAAGGTTTGTAGGCCGTAAACCCCATCTTAAATATCACGTACGTGTTGCCAGCCTAAAGATATTGCCTGTACATCCAGACAGCTCTATATTATTAATGTGGTTTCTTAGAAAATATCAATTCCACTCTCCTATCATCATGCTGCACAAAGGCACATTTAAAAAAAGGGATTTTTTTCAGCTTATGGAAAATTAGTAGGATTGAAAAACAGATGGCAACTTATGGAGCTAAAAGACAGAGCTGGCAGCCTTTTAATGTGAAAGTATAGTGATAACGATTTATTGAGCTAAAGGATAGATTTAACATTTAATGGAATGAAAAGATAAATTTGTCAACATAGTCAAGTAAAAATATCGAGTTGGCTAAATTGCTCCATTTCAAAACTATAAAAGTTTGGATGAGGTCTAAAGGTCAAAATGTGTTTGCTATACCGATTCATTAACTTTATTATGGTATTAAATGTTGTAGGGGAAGGTTTGGGTTGTTATAGATGATGTTATCGGCATTTGTGTTATAGGTGCACGTTTTCTATTTAATAGATAGTTATGTAAGTTAATGTAAGTTATGTATTTAATGTAAGTTAGTTTTGCTAGCTTATCATTCACCAGTGAATCTTACTAATTGCCTCATTATCATTCACCAGTGAATATTGCTAACTTACCTCATCATCATTCACCAGTGAATATTACTAACTTGGTTCATTATCATTCACCAGTGAATCTTACAACCTAGCCTCACTATCTTTCACTAGTGAATCTTACTAACTTGCCTCATCATTCTGCTTTTCAAATTATAATTGTTTTAGCACGTGACTCACACATTATCTTTTCAGTCCTCAGCAGCCTATTGTCTCCCACAGGGAGGATGACCAGCTGAGCTTCGTTGCAGACGTCCCGGGGTTCCCAGAGAGTCTTGTCATCAAGAACTTCAGCCACAAGACGGAGTTCGGGTGGGTGTTCCCCGAGCTGAGTCAAAGCCAGGCCAAGGAACCGGTAGTTGTCGACTCGAAGTGGCTGGCAGAGTACAGCGAGGAGATCGAAGCTCTTCAAGGGATAATTTACAAGCAGAGTTTGCTCAGTGACGCCGACCACGGCCAGAGTAACTTTGCTGAGACTCTGAAAACGGAGATTAAATATCAAAGTACTTCAAATTTTAGCTATATGAGGCACGATTATAAAGAAACTTGTAATTCGAAAGTTAAAAGGTCATCTAATCGTCGAAATCAGAATAATTCTGTGAAACGTATAACTACTAATGAGGCTAACTTCAACGACAGTGGTTTTGAGGAAGAATTAATTACTGAGAAAGAGGAGACGAAGTCATCGTCACGTGAGAGTGAGACGGAAGGAGAAATGATTTCCGAAGAAAGTCCTGTTGCAAGAAATGAATGTATGGCAAGGTGTAGCACTCCTCAGAGCGAGGCCTGTTACAGTATGACAAGCTGCACCTCGCGAGACAGTGGTGTCTACGTCAGCGACGACGTCTCTGAGTGTCAACCAGAGGCGCAGCCAGAGAAGTCCCTGCTTCAGGAACTGGAGGAGATTTTCAACAATCGTGTGACACAACCAGACAGATGTTTAACTCACAAAGCGGAATTTGAGGCGGTGGCGGCAATCAGTGACGAAGAAACAAGAAACAAATGTCCCATCTGGTTTCAAAAGTTCAGTGGAGATGGTAGTCTTGGCTTACGTTTAAGTCCATTGGCTTGGGATCCCGGCACAATTCGAGACGAAGTCTCTGCTCAGTCAATAAACAGGGAAGTGGAAAATGAATCTGTAAGTTCTACAGAGGATACAGTGTCGGAAGAAGCAGGTGTTGATAAAATTAGCGAAAATACCAAGCAGGAACGGCAATTGGCGAATCTCTTGACGACTTGTGACAGGCTGGAGGCGCTGTCACTTCGGAGCAGCTCAGTGGGAGCCGTCGCCGAAGTTATTAAGTTAGCCAAGTCCTTCAGCAAGATCAACGACCGCTTGCAAAATCTTCGTTTTAGTCTTCAGGGCCTTTCCTTACAGGCGCACGAGAACAAACACGATCTCAGCAACTTGGAAGTGCGGGCGTCGGGTCTCTTGTCATCTACGTCAGCATCCCGCCGTCATCTGACTCAGGCGTGGGCGCTGCAGAGGTTGGAGGACCGCCTCCAGGAGGAGTGGTGGGCCGCCTACGATCCTAATGCTCTTAATTTGCATGAAAATTACATTGTCTAACGGCAGTAAGTAAAAATGTAAGAACATTAACAAAAGAAACTGGAACACTCCATGACGAGAGAGCAAGTGCCGATATATTTGTTGTGCCACTGCCACTGCTTCTTGTAAATGCAAACTATGTTCACACTGTCGGTGGGAACATGGCAGTATTATTATTAGTATTACTATTACTATAATCTGTGTCTAACACGTGAACGCAGAAGAGCGGAACTGTCCTAATGGCTGGAATTTTACTGTGATATATCTGATGTGCTCTTATCGGGGACTGGAGCTGGAATCCATCCAGTTGTGGGAAGCTGTAAAGCCCACCAGTCCTTGACCGCTACTCTATTCAGTATATATGCTCTCTCCTGATGTTGTTGTTGTTTTAGATTTAGCTACTCAGGACGAAGTGTCCATGTAGCACGGGCTATGGTGAGCCCGTACTCTCTCCTGTATGACGCTAAATTATATAGGCAATGGAGTGACTCGAACGTGCGTTTTGGTGAGCCCCAGACACCTTCTTTATCTGGGAATCACCAGAACGCAGGTTCAGGTTCGAGTCACTCCATTGCCTCAGAATGGAGCCAAATATTTTCATTGATATATCACGCCATTGTGGTTATAAAAACCCTCACTTAATTGCTTAATAATATTGCTAGAATTAACAAAAAATCGCATTTGTAAATACATATTTCAAATAATTATTTTGTTTTACAACTGATTCTGCACCTGTCCATAGTCGTGCCGCTTTGTTCAGCTCTACATTATTAAATATTTCAATCACACGTTTTCAGAATATAGCATTTAAAAATGAGTTTTGTCTCTTACTCCTCTCAAAATGTAGTGAAAACGGTTGAGCATCCTCGTTTCCCAATATGTCTCCAAACCCCTTCCGCCAGACTGTCTAGATCATCGTCATCACACGTCCCATTGGGTTGGACGGGGTTCCTCTGTTAAGTTAGCTTCAGAAAGTTAGTACATTATTTTAGTGACGTTGAGAACGCTCGAGAGGACGGGTTGAGGTACTTCAAAAAAGATGTCAATAGACTTTAGATAGGGATAGTTAAGAACACAACGGCTGTTGCGTTATTAATATTACTATAATTATTACTAGTTATTTATAGAAAAATGGTATATCACAAAAAAACAAGCTACACACAGCTGGTGAGACGTGCTGTTGTTTTTGTGCTGCAAAACACAAAACCACCTCAGACCATATCGATAAGAGTTAAATTTGATCTAACATTATTTTTTTTTAAATCGAGTCCCATACCCCCCCCCATTATTTAGTCCCTATATCTCACACGAAAGATGGATATCCACATTAATAATCTCTAGCTTAATGGATTTTCCTTCCTTGCAGCCAGCATCGAGAACAGCCTCAAGCAAGACTCATTGTTTACAACCGCCTACAGTGTATAACAATCAGGTATTGACTCCACTGGAGGTTTCTTAATTATCTCGTCTTGTCCCTGGAGATATAAAAAAATGCATCTTCAGTACTTTTGTTACCAATTGAGACAGATTTTGGTCCATTATAGCATGAAAAAATGTGGTGTGAATATATCTCATTAGAATGTGGCTTCTGGTATTCGGGTGAAAATGGAAGGGCTGGGCACGTTGGTAGGCTAGATTTTATGGTTTGGGAAAGTTGGTTTGGCAGGGTAGGCTGTTGAAACAGGCTAATAGGGTTGGTTAGGGTGTGGGGAGTATGAGGCATGCTGATGGGGCAGGTTGATGGGGCAGGTTGATGGGACAGGTTGGAGGGACAGGTTGATGGGGGGGGGGGTTGTAGAAATAGCCTAAGTTACTCTATCCCTTTGAGATGTATTTCTTTCTTGTCTCAATAAACATACTTGAACTTGATGGGGACAGGATAGTGGGGCAGGTTGGTGGAACAGGTTGATGGGACAGGTTGGTGGGGCAGGTTGGTGGGGCAGGTTAGAGTGTAAGTTGGCAGGACAGGTGCGCAGGTTAGTGACCAGTCAGTCACCTGGCCTGGGGCGGGGTTGGCCCCCTTCTCAAGGTTCACCAATACCTGCATTAATTACTTCATTCGGGTCTTTACATATATAAGGCATTATTACCCTGACTCTCCAAAAAGTATGTCCATCAGATATACTCTCCACTGTCCTTAATGAACGCAGGTCTGTGAGATATACTCTCCCTTAAGAATGCGTTTTTGTTAGATACGTCCATAACTGAAGAACATTATGTTTTAATGCATGTATTCAAACAATTGTTCTACAAAAATAATATACTAAAGTCTCTGATATACGAATTAATTTTATGTAACAGATTCATTAAACGCTATCTATAATATAAATTATGTTATAAATATAGCTTAAAAAGAAGGTGGTACAATATTTGGACCTAACAAAATTAGAACACAGAGTCAGCAGTCTGGAGTTATATTAACAAATGTAAATTTTGCTCTTAATATGGCTTACATCAGTTATCTTCGCACCCGTGTCTCGTATTAGTGTTTCTTTACTGTTAACTCGTGTGTGTGTTTGCGTGGCGTCAGTGTGGTATTTGTGTGGCGTCAGTGTGGTATGCGTGGCGTCAGTGTGGTATGTGTGGCGTCAGTGTGGTATGCGTGGCGTCAGTGTGCTGCGACAGCCGGTTTGGGGCCAAGAAGGACGCAAGGAGTCCCCCTGCCTGTATATGGTGCGTAGTGAAGCGTGGCCATGGACAACCCAGTTCCACCCGGCCTTTCACTCCACCTTCCGCTAGTCACTGTACCAACACACTCTCTCGGGCACGAACACACACGCTCTTCCTTACAGTCCTAGTATTTCCACAGAGTGTAGGGAAATCGTACTGCATACCTCCTCTTTGTACAGCATAGGGAAGACTCAAGCACATTTCCCGTCACTTAGTTTATCGTACTGATTTAAATTCATGATACCAGTATAACACTGTATTTAATTTCAACACTATTCTAATTTGGTATAATATACAATTAAGAGCAAGAGAGCATTGATAATAATTTTGATAAATAACAATCTTACACAACAACGAGAGCGGAGGGTGTGACTCAGATTATCTTAGTCCCTCAGATTACCTTAATCCATTGATGTTGCATTCACGATGTTTGGAGTTGAATTGTATTTTTTCTGTGCCTACTGTATTGTAAGTTATTATATAATATAGCGTTAGGCAGCAATGCACTGCAAAGTGTTGAATATAATGATCCGAACCATTCCGAACATAAACGTAATGTGTTGAACTATCTTCATTATTTCATGTTGCTAGTGTGTGTGTACCGACCAGTCCCATCCCTGGTTATGGTACCCCCTTGGTACACATCATTATGTGTACCTCCTGACCTGCTGATCTGCTGGTGTACCTGCTGACCTGCTGGTGCCTGCTGATCTGATAGTGTACCTGCTGACCTGATGGTGCCTTTTGACCTGATAGTGTACCTGCTGACCTGCTGGTGTACGTGCTGACCTGATGGTGTACATCCTGACCTACTGATCAGGGAGAGAGGGAGAGAGAGAGAGAGAGAGAGCGCAGGATTCGTGTCTGCTTCCCCTGTATAAGCCAGAGTGTGAGACAGACAGTCATGACTAAGCAGAGAGTTGAGTCACGACTGGAAACTTGAGTAACTGAGGATAGTCAAGCTGTGTGCCTAGTGAGGCCCCGATACCCCCCAGCAGACTTCCTGTCCCCGGATAATAAACGAACCTTATCAGTATTTCATTAGCAACATGTAAATGCTTCATTTACCACATAAACAAAAATAACAGCTGCTGCACAGTTCAATAAACAGGACATGAGTAGTTTTCCATTAAAGCCTTTGTACACACTGAACGAGATGCTTCACATCCCCTTCCTCATCAACTGTGAAGTGGACCCTTCCTAGCCGGGTCACCCACTCCCTGCCTGCGACGCCGTACACAGGAGTCTCCACAACAACCAAATGTTCCATTTATTTATTTCCAGAGCACTCAGACCTCCTCACTGGAATATTTGAGGTATAACTAAATTAAGGGTTTCATTCACTTGAGGACCATCAGAGCCTCGAACTGTGGACCATGCAGTCCTGCCAACTGAGCCACGATCATCCACAATAAGGGCGGATTCCAGAGACACCGAACTGGTATCCAACTAGAACTTCAGGCCTTCTCTGAGGTGCCGCTTGAGAATAAAGGTGTTAGATAATCCTTGTGCTAGTCTTATGTGTTGCTCTTGTGGTCGGCGGTTAGAGGCACCAATGGTCCTAGTGACAGAAATTGATATTATTCACGATATACTGGTTAATAATTTACATTAAGATTATTTGCAAGAATTCGAGATTAAGTTATGGCACAGCTTATTTATAAGCCTTTGGCAGTGCAACATCATAATCCTTTAAGGACTGGTTTTGCTTCCTGCAGTTTCCCTTTTGTAAATTGATCAGTCTATGATAATATAACTCCGTTTTCTGTAAATAATGTATATGATAATTGCCTGCAGAGTTGCTACTCCGTTTATCACTTTGTTAGTGTTATTTTCTCTCTCTTTACCCTCCTTAGGTCTTGAGAATTACTCATGATGTATGGAATTAATATAGTCAGTCGGTATTGGGCGCTCGGTTTGTGACCAACCCGTTCTTGCCAGCGTTCTTAACGTCAAGAAACTGTCGTACTAAAGTACCTTATCGTAACAGGTGCCTAATAGCACCTGGTATTTTGACGTATACGCTACCTAAGGCTAAACACTGTCGTACTAGAAAATGATAGCAAGTCACGAAATTAACATAAAACGAAATTTGACAAAAAACGAAATTTAAATTTCTGTTGGTGGGTCCTCTGACACGTTAGGCTCTCTGATCAGTACACCATGTGAACGAGAGCATGTAGTATAATTTGTATAATAATAATTTATATATGTAATTATTATTAGTTATTATTATTATTATTATTAAACCATGAAGCCCTGATCTTGTGAAGCCACAGTAGTACAAAGCCTAAAGCTTGCCTCATATATAACCTTGCCTCACATATATAATCTTGGCTCGCATATATAACCTTGCCTCACATATATAATCTTGCCTCGCATATATACCAGAACCTTGCCTCACTAATACCAGAAGTAAGACGAGCTAGATGTGAGTATAAATTAAAAACTGATCAGTGCACAATTGGTAAATAGAAGAACTAGAGGAGACTTGATCACGACTTACAACATTCTAGGAAAACCCCTGTAGGGCGGACAAGGAGTTTGCTTAATATTGGCGGGAATTGACGAAAAGTCTACAAGAGGACACTGGATGAAGAAAATAAGTCCAACTGAATTCACAACTTCATATACAAATATATGAAAAACACAACAATTTCTTAAAACGTTGCATAAAGCAGTTGCAGACGAGACTCGCAAGACAAACTACTAACAACAAAGGAAGAGCTTTAAGCCGTTTATGCACTAGTGTTCAGCAACATTCGAAACATCAGTGCGCATGATCGGAGAGCCCAGAGACGTGACACTCTTAGGGGAAGAAGCGCTTAGCGCTTGTCACGAGGTGTGTCCAGCCGTAGTGAGGCAGCTCAGACCTGTAGATATTGCTGGAGGTGCAGCTGTTGGTGTTACAGTAGGTAGTGCTGAACTCTGAACCCCTGAGTGCGTTGGTCCCGCACTATTTCCTTTGTGACGTGTTGATTTGTGAGTTCCGATGTGTACCAATATACGCTGAACACTGCATATCTCAGAGTCCACGGCGTCCTCCAACCTGTCACGCCCTGTTCTCCGCTGCTTGCGTGTCCTGATCTGTGTCACGCCCTGTGTTCCGTTGCTTGCGTGTCCTGAGCTGTGTCACGCCCTCTACAACATCCTAACATGCCCTGCAGCGTAAGAGAACATTAACTTAACAGAGCTGCTTCTTGTGTGTGAGGTAAGTCTTGACACTGTTCCAGATTCAAATTGCTGTGTTATTATTGCGACCTCTGTACTCTATGTAACCAAAGTTTTGAGATGTGTATTCTAGGCTGATTTTTTAGTTAAGGAAAGAGAAGTCTTTCTTCTTAGAGAAAGAAGAAGAAGACTTCTCTTCTTAGAGAAGAGGAGTGATGTGCCAAATGCACATCATATACCACAAACGACTCACAAACGGGGCTCTCAGAATAGCCACCGATGACAATAGAAAGATTAGGTACTCTCCCCCCCCCCCCAAAAAAAAAAAAACCACTCATGAACTTAGTGCATTACTCTGCCTTGGCACTACACCGGCAGTGGCACCGTGGAGCTAGGCGCATCGTCCGGTGTCAACACTGCCAGAGTTTCCCCCTGCCTCGCATGTAAACCAATAATTGTGTTCAGTCTGTAGCCTCTTCCACACGGTGTCTCCCTATGGCAACTAGTAATTTGGGGGGACACCTGGAGCCAAGGACACCTGGGTCCTCCGGGACACGAGGCTACTAACAAATTAAACTCCGGCTGCTGGAAGAATAAAAGAAAGACCTTATGATAATTATATGTAACAGTGTGATGCCTCGAGAAACTCAAGCAGTCACCTCAATTTCTCCCTACTAGTGATGTGGCCCTGACCTGCAGGGTGTCACTCGTCAAAATGTCACTGGTGCAACTATAATTCTTACTGACTGACTGTGCCTGTTCACTGCACTCTCTCTTACCTCGAGAGACCCTATTCTCCGTTGACCAGGACTGTTATTTAGTGTGGCAGAGGTCACGGAGAAGGCTGTGGAGTGATCATACACAAGAGCCTCCACCCGAGATCTCGTGCAGTTGGTTCTTGCAGTATTAAGGTTCTCGACCGCCAAGAGGTTCAGAGTTGCACCGTGGTCCTACAACTGTCGGACTTGTAGACAAAATCTTCATCCGGTAGATTAAATAGGTCACTCATTGTGCTATCACACTGTCCTTGACTCCTCACAACGGCAGGACGCGTTGTGCAACTGCAAATCCATCACGATATAGGCACGTGACCTCGGGTCATAAGTTGATTGGCAGGTTCATGTCCCGTTCTTGCATCCGGGCATCTTCAACGTTGCATCTTTTCTCCGGCGCCAAAATTTACGACCCTACCCGAAGCCATATTTGAAAATGGTTGGCTAGGCTTCCCCCATTTGAAGAACTCAAATGGGACGCTGAGAAAAACTGGAACGTCGTTTAAAACCCTAAATAGAGATTGTTTTAAGACACTTAACACAGGGAGCCGGTCGGCCGAGCGGACAGCACGCGGGACTTGTGATCCTGTGGTCCTGGGTTCGATCCCAGGCGCCGGCGAGAAACAATGGGCAGAGTTTCTTTCACCCTATGCCCCTGTTACCTAGCAGTAAAATAGGTACCTGGGTGTTAGTCAGCTGTCACGGGCTGCTTCCTGGGGGTGGAGGCCTGGTCCAGGACCGGGCCGCGGGGACACTAAAGCCCCGAAATCATCTCAAGATAGCCTTGTTAGACCAACATTGGAATATGCATCACCTGCCTGAAATCCACACCATATGAAGCATAAAACCTAAAATGAAAAAGTACCAAGGATTGCAACACGTTTATTGCCAGAGCTGGGAAGGACTAAAGCTCTGAGGATAGGTTAATGGTACTAGATGTCGCAACCCTGGAGAAGGTAAGAAGTAGAGAGGACATAATCACAACGTACAAGGATACTGAGGGGAACTGATAAAGTGGACAATTTGGATTTAAGTAAGTTACAGATTGGAGTCAGGTACGGTACAAATTGGAGTCAAGTACTGTACAAACTTGGCGCAGTGACTGGGTGGGTAGTAAGAGGCGTGGTTGCCGGTGCTTAGCTTATCAGAACCAGTCTGGGAACGTCAACAGGACCCGGAGTCGGCACCTACGCTGAATTATACAAAAAATACCTCGGTACACCGACAGGATTCAAGAGAGCTTACACACACACACACACACACGCACACACGCACACTACCAGGCTACCAGGGGGCCTGGTAGTCTGGTGGATAGCGCACAGAAGTCGTAATTCTGTGGCGCGGGTTCGATTCCCGCACCAGGCAGAAACAAATGGGCAAAGTTTCTTTCACCCTGAATGCCCCTGTTACCTAGTAGTAAATATGTACCTGAGAGTTAGTCATCTGTCACGGGCTGCTTCCTGGGGTGTGTGTGTGTGGTGTGGAAAAAAAAGTAGTTAGTAAACAGTTGAATGACAGTTGAGAGGCGGGCCGAAAGAGCAAAGCTCAACCCCCGCAAACACAACTAGGTGAACACAACTAGGTGAACACACACACACACACACACACACACACACACACACACACACAGTTTGACCACATCCAGGTCAAACTTAGTTAAGAATATTGTCCAGTCACATTCAAGTACTCCACAACCACTCACAAACGTTGCTAGAGAAGACTATGAACACAAAAACTTATACATGGCGGTAAACGCCTCCTGAAAGGTCAGATTGCTAGTGTCTTAAGGCCGGACGGAGCAAGTGTTTTTGCTCCTCACAAACTGGCTTAGTCGTCTCCAGGAACACAGCCTTGCTACGTTCCAGGAACACAGGCTTGCTACTTTCCAGGAACACAGGCTTGCTACTTTCCAGGAACACAGGCTTGCTACTTTCCAGGAACACAGGCTTGCTCTTTCCAGGAACACAGGCTTGCTACTTTCCAGGAACACAGGCTTGCTACTTTCCAGGAACACAGGCTTGCTACTTTCCAGGAACACAGGCTTGCTACTTTCCAGGAACACAGGCTTGCTACTTTCCAGGAACACAGGCTTGCTACTTTCCAGGAACACAGGCTTGCTACTTTCCAGGAACACAGGCTTGCTCTTTCCAGGAACACAGGCTTACTCTTTCCAGGAACACAGGCTTGCTACTTTCCAGGAACACAGGCTTGCTCTTTCCAGGAACACAGGCTTGCTACTTTCCAAGAAGTACACGTGTGAATGTTCTTAGTGGTTCTAATCCATTTGCGTCGGGAAGGGGGGTAGAGGGTTAAGCTCCAGCTCTCGGACTTGTGGTGCAGCGATTCAAAATATGTGAATGCAGTTGATTTCCTCACCATAAAGATCTATAATACAGCTTACTGATTAGGCTTGGTTTGGTGTTGGGCTCAACGATTATCAACCTCACAAGGGTTATTAAGGTACGACATGGGTTATTAAGGCACAACAAGGGTTATTAAGGAAACAACAGTGTCTTTAATACACTCCATTGTGTATGGTGTCCCACCCTGATGAGGTTGTATTTCTACATTGTAATATACTGGTTGAATGTTTGAGTTAATAGCACAAGGTGGGATACTGTGAAGATGAAAATTGGGTACTTCATAGGTCTATTTTTTAATATAGGTTGGACAATTTTTTTTATTCATTAGGGAGTGACTCCATATATTGGGCCTTTTATTAACATGACGTGTTTGCATAGATTTAGTGTAACTCTGGGGACATCAAAGAGTTATTTATTTCTGGTGTGGTCATAGGTTCTATATAATTTATGAAGGAAGTTTCAAAACATTATTGGAGTTTAGTAACAAGGTTGTGTAAGTGTGAGTAGCACAACAGACTGTGTGTGTTTAGCATGTTCAGGGATTTAAACAGACTATGTGTTGTCTGAAGGCAGAGTTTGTTATAGTTTAGAAATGTGAATTTTGCTGGGTGATGATGGGCTTGAGGAAGTTTGCAGTGACTAAACCCTATGCACAGATAGCGTACGTTAGATAGGGATAACTTATGGTGAATAGTATAGTGTAAGAAGAGTCGCGCGGAGAACATAATATCTAAGTTTTCAAAGTATGTCAGAATTTGTATATACTTTTTTTGGCTATATGCTCTGTGAACACTGAAGCTAAGTCTCTTGTCTATATATTGGCAAAGGAACTTTCTCTCATATTTACTATCAATGTTTACATTACCTATCTGCGGGAGTGTTTGGTTGATGATTTGCTTCCAAATATAATGTAGTAGGTCATTGTGAGTTGGTTGACATCCATGAGTGGACTTTGTTTACCTCGGTATTTACAATATTATTCATTGTTGGGTGGGATCAGTAAACAGTAAAAGGAATGATAACGCTAAGAAGAGCACTAGGCTCCAGTGGCCAGGGAGGCGGAGGGACCACACCTTCCTCCACCACAAACACACAACACCTCGCTCACGCACACACACACACACACACACACACACACACACACACACACACACACACACACACACACACACACACACACACACACACACACACACACACACACACAACACCACACACACACACACACAAACACACGTTGGTCCAGATGGGATCTCACCATGGGTACTGAAAGAGTGTGCAGAGGCACTTTGCCTGCCACTCTCCATAGTGTATAGTAAGTCACTAGAGACGGGAGACCTACCAGAAATATGGAAGACGGCGAATGTGGTCCCAATATACAAAAAGGGCGACAGACAAGAGGCACTGAACTACAGGCCAGTGTCCTTGACTTGTATACCATGCAAGGTGATGGAGAAGATCGTGAGAAAAAACCTGGTAACACATCTGGAGAGAAGGGACTTCGTGACAAATCGCCAACATGGATTCAGGGAGGGTAAATCTTGCCTTACAGGCTTGATAGAATTCTACGATCAGGTGACACAGATTAAGCAAGAAAGAGAGGGCTGGGCGGACTGCATTTTCTTGGATTGTCGGAAAGCCTTTGACACAGTACCGCATAAGAGGCTGGTACATAAGCTGGAGAGACAGGCAGGTGTAGCTGGTAAGGTGCTCCAGTGGATAAGGGAGTATCTAAGCAATAGGAAGCAGAGAGTTACGGTGAGGGGTGAGACCTCCGATTGGCGTGAAGTCACCAGTGGAGTCCCACAGGGCTCTGTACTCGGTCCTATCTTGTTTCTGATATATGTAAATGATCTCCCGGAGGGTATCGATTCATTTCTCTCAATGTTTGCGGACGATGCTAAAATTATGAGAAGGATTAAAACAGAAGAGGACTGTTTGAGGCTTCAAGAAGACCTAGACAAGCTGAAGGAATGGTCGAACAAATGGTTGTTAGAGTTTAACCCAACCAAATGTAATGTAATGAAGATAGGTGTAGGGAGCAGGAGGCCAGATACAAGGTATCATCTGGGAGAGGAAATTCTTCAGGAGTCAGAGAAGGAAAAAGACTTGGGGGTTGATATCACGCCAGACCTGTCTCCTGCAGCACATATCAAGCGGATAACATCAGCGGCATATGCCAGGCTGGCCAACATACGAACGGCATTCAGAAACTTGTGTAAAGAATCATTCAGAACTTTGTATACCACATATGTCAGGCCAATCCTGGAGTATGCAGCCCCAGCATGGAGTCCATATCTAGTCAAGGATAAGACTAAACTGGAAAAGGTTCAAAGGTTTGCCACCAGACTAGTACCCGAGCTGAGAGGTATGAGCTACGAGGAGAGACTACGGGAATTAAACCTCACTTCGCTGGAAGACAGAAGAGTTAGGGGGGACATGATCACCACATTCAAGATTCTGAAGGGGATTGATAGGGTAGATAAAGACAGTCTATTTAACACAAGGGGCACACGTACTAGGGGACACAGGTGGAAACTGAGTGCCCAAATGAGCCACAGAGATATTAGAAAGAACTTTTTTAGTGTCAGAGTGGTTGACAAATGGAATGCATTAGGAAGTGATGTGGTGGAGGCTGACTCCATACACAGTTTCAAGTGTAGATATGACAGAGCCCGATAGGCTCAGGAATCTGTACACCTGTTGATTGACGGTTGAGAGGCGGGACCAAAGAGCCAGAGCTCAACCCCCGCAAACACAACTAGGTGAGTACAACTAGGTGAGTACACGCCACGTCATATACTCACACAACCCTGGCAACGGGACACAACTAAGCTCTTGTTGTGATGTTAATGATCCACCTGCGGTTGATAAGTCATGTGCAGGGCTGGATTACTCAGTAGGCCAAGGGCCTATTGAGTAATGCCCACTAGGCCTAAATGGCCTAGGGCCCAACACCACGAGGGGGCCCACCAGTACGTCTTTTGGAATTTGGTTTTATGGAATAAATAATATGTCCATTTGTAAAAATGGACAAATACAAAATAACTATACATAACTTTGATAGTTAATCATTATACATATTACATTAACCGTCCACATGTTTGTATTTAACCCTTGAACAGCCTCACTGACCAGAGGGTGGGGCCCATTTACCTGTGTTGGCCTAGGGTGAGATAGGGTCTCCCCCCCCCAAAAAAAAAGTAAGATTCCCCTCTGTTGACACGAACCCGTCGTCTCAACTAATAGGTCGCGTTTTGTACGCTGTGGTAACCAACGAACCAAATGCAACACGTGTGAAAAGTAACAGCTCACAAATATCCACGTTTTCTATACATGGGTTCGACGGGTTAGGTGGGTTGCTTGGGTTCGTATATTTCTGGTTAAGTTAGGAGGATGGATTTTGAACGGAAAGGCAAATCATGAACCCCAACATCAAGCCAACCGGTTGCGGCAAATTGATTTAAAAAGAACATTGCAGGATAACATGAATTAGCCACTCGCTATCTCTTTTACTTAACAACTATTAATTAGAGAAAAAAAGCAGGAGCAGCAGCAAGTATTAACTGATATTGCTCTCTTCAGCAGGAGGAAGAGGAAGAGGGGAGCAAGGAGCAGCGAGCACCATGACCGAGGCCAAGACACTGAAGGGGAAACTGAGGGGAGGCGCAAGCTATGGCACCCTTCCTGAGCTGGTGACCCGCGTGTGTGTGGTGAGTACAGGGGCGAGAGAGAGAGAGAGAGAGAGAGAGATAGTGGGAGAAAGTGATAAAGAATGAAACAATAGGAGGAAGACGGCGAGTGGATGACGAAACAGTTGGAGGGTAGAAATAGCCTAAGCTACTCGATCCTTTTGACATGTATCATATTGTTTCAATAAATGTACTTAAATTGACGAAACAGATGGGATGGGAGAGAGAGAGAGGACCGTACACACAGATATAACTCAATAACAAACAGCTTGAGAAAGGACAAAGATGGTTGGATAAAAGCGACAAAAGATGATGAGGGTACAGGGATGAGCAATACAATGGCTCCAAGCAGACCAATACACTATCGTACGGGGATATAACCGACCCAGATGTGGGCATTGTGTCCACTTATTGCTTCTGTTTGCAGGTTAATAACAGGTAATTACTCTCGTGTTCTTCCCGTAGATTAGGTGTTATTGGCTGGAGACCAGGATCTAAATTTATTCCTTTCCTCAATAATATTTATGGTAGTCTACTGAAGACCTGCATGTTTTATTTCCAATCAGCAATATTCTAAACTGAAGTAAATTCTTAATGTAAACTTTAACTTGCAGTAGAACGACGGTCTCACTTCATGCAGGTTGGCGTTCAATCCCCGACCGTCCAAGTGGTTAGGCACCATTCCTTTCCCCCCGTCCCATCCCAAATCCTTAACCTGACCCCTTCCCAGTGCTATATAGTCGTAATGGCTTGACGCTTTCTTCTGATAGTTCCCTTCCCTTGCGGTGACGTACTGTCCGTCCTCCTAATAGAGCGTCGCACTTTGACGCTAAATACTCTAGATGCGGTGACGTTGTCTCCTGGTTTTGAGAAATATGATTGGTCGGATGCGGGGGGGAGGGGGTGTCCATTTTAACCCATGGTGTGACGTGATGTTAGCGCCAGAGCTGCTCGACGGGGACGCCGCCCGCGGTCACTAGCCACCTGGGGAAGAACGTGAGAGGTCGCGTCGCACGTCGGTCCCACATAGACGAGGTTTAAGCCACCAGAAAGCACATTACTCTAAGCAGTACTCGAGAGGCAACGTAGAGGAGCTACTGGTCAACTTCTAGAGGAAGATTTAGAGAGGAGGAATGTGACATGAGGTCGCAAGAAGCTCCGTGACGTGGGTACTCCTGAATCTCAAGAAGCAGTGCTCGGGGATCGAGAGATGATCCGTGGGCCGTCCCAGGCTAGGAGCGTGAGGTGGCAAGTCCTGCCACCTCACTATGTCTCTATGAGACATAGAGACAGCATAGCAGCCCTGGAAGAAGCAGCTGCTGTGATACAGCACTTTTACAGAGAAGAAGGAGACCAATATTCAACGTAGAAGACAGATGAAGGTCTGGGAGACTTTCGCCTAATCATAGTGAGATCTTCTGAGGAGATCCCTCGTCGGAAGGTTGTCAACCAGCTGCGAGGAAAGATCTCCGTTGGTTTTACTAGAGAAGAGGAGGAACTTTTACTAGAAAAGTAGAGAAACACACGAGAGGTCACCAGAGGGAGCATCTACTAACTGCAACAGGCTGCTTGGACTGCAGCCTCTCTTCTTCAATAGTAAGGTAGATTAAATTTCACTTGTTTGATAGGAAGAATAAATTATTTGTTTCACATTCGTGGAGTGATTTATTGTGGCAAGAGAGAGAGCCGACATTTGAGACAGTATCAGAAATTGTATAAATTTGTATTGCACATGGATCTAGATAAATCGTGTGTGATTAATGAAAAGATTAACACAATTATTATACAAGTGAATTGATAATATTCTTTGCTGGAAAACTTTTAGTAAATCAAAAGCCTATTGGATTCTTCTAATATTAATATTGAGAGAGGTTGCCATATTATTGGATTTCACCGCGGGAGTGTTACCACTATGACAGTTAAGATATTGTAGGCATTAAACCAATGTATTTTTATTTCCAGTAAATTGTTTATTCTTTTATGGGAGCGGCCGACTTATATCACTTGCCACGGGGTTGCAAGGCCGAGTGAGAGACTTCCCCTTGAGTGACTGAGGTGCTCCCCTTAAGTGAACAGTGGCACTGGTGGGAGGGGGAGCAAGACCAGGTGATACTGCCACACCAGGTAACACCTACTTCATCAACTCACGCCTCCAGGTAGCCGCTACCTGCAGGTGTTGTTAGCTATGGCGCATACCCGGACCATCATAATCATAATCCAGTTAAATTTCGTTTGATGTTGAGATTCAGTGCTCTTAACCGCGGGAGGAATCTTGATACGACAACGGTAGCTAACTGACCTACCAGTATACCTTAGTCTTGCATTCAGTCCAGGATCACAATAAGCTCTGTGTATATACACAGATGCGGTGTACTTACCGAATTGTGCTTGCGGGGGTTGAGCTCTGGCTGTAGATATCTCTAAGTGTGTGTATATACACAGAAAAGCTAGGTACACCTCTAAGTGTATATAATCATTGTAAGACGCCCCTCCTCGTGTCAATCTAATCACTGTCAGGGATGTGTCAGGACGTTGTTGTTCTGGAGACGGCAAAGAAAATCAGTCATACAATTCTCGAACCGCAGAACCTTCGGGCAGTTTGCGTCGTGGACATACACAAAGGCCCAATACTTCGGTTCAAGTTCCCAAACTTGAGCATCGCTTACAAGGGAAGCACGAGAAGAAAAATGGCCTGAAGGCTACAAGTACGCTAATTTGCATGCCCTCCCCGGCCTCCCTACCCAGCCACAAAGCCCAGAAGTAATGTAACTAAACTTGGTTAGAAACGGAAAATTTGGATAACAAGCGGAGTATGCTATTCTTGGGTGTATTGTTTTTCAAAAGTGATGGAAAACATATAGCAGGTGATGGAGTGATAATTAAATTATTATGCTTTAAACTGACCTTACAAATTACACGTCACCTAAAATCTCTTAGAACTTAAAGAAAACAGATATCAAATTATCGTGAGCATAATTTACAGCTTCTTGGCCTGTTCAAATATCCCAAATTTATGAAAATATTGTCAAGTCGTATAAATATGCAAAAAACGTAAAGTGATTACGTAACACGTAAAGTGAGAGTTTTAAGGTCCATCAGCCTCGGGAGGGTTATATTAGGTCACCACCAGAGCTTAGTGACCAACCAGCAAGTATACTTTAGGCCTGTAGACACTCTAGGAATATAGAATTCTTTGTTTTGTATATACACCGAGAAGCATATTAAACCTCTCGAAGTATATTATCTTGACCTTATTTTTTCCTGTAATTCCACGAGGTTAAAAAATATTTGTTTATTAAGTACTACCGTCTCATGATGAGTATATTTACAAATTTTAGCCTATCAAATCGATATATTTCATTATATAGCTTTTTAATCACCTGTATAGTTTTCTTTATTCTTGTGTTTTACGTCTAATAAATAAATAATGTTAAGATGCTGTTTAAAATCAGCATTTTTCACTTTAGATCAAATTATTTTCTGTAGTCAGACATTATCAAGCAGTTGACCTGTGATCTGACACCGGAGACTGACCATTAATACTGAACCAGGATGATAAACTGGGCCTGTTGGAGGAGAACCAAGAGTGGGGCGGAGGGCGCCCAAGCAGCAGGGGCACCGCCAGCAGCAGCAGCAACAGCAGCAGCAGTCATGTGGTCTCCCAGCACACCCAGCAGCTCCCATGGTCTCCCAGCAAGCGGAGCGCCGGGACCAGCTTCAAGGGCGCCTCCAAACAGGGTGGGTGTGACGGCTGCTTGGTGTGTGATTGAAGGAATCGAGTTTTCTCTCCCAGACTTACGATATCGTTGTTCTTTAGAACATTTGTTTAGCTACAATGTTTATCTGAAGAGCATTGTTCAGTTACATCTTAACATTTTGCGATGTTTGGCTTCTAGGATTAATGTAAGCCATGGGAAGTGTGATATACTGTGGACTGGTATTTAAATTTCAAAATTTTCAGAGTAAATTTGATAATGTAGCCTCTTCTACTGTTCTATATAATTTGAAGCATAACTGATGTTAGTAATAAATGAATTACTTATTTTCTTACTCGTGAATTGTTGAGTAATAAAATTGTATTCGGTTATGTTAGTTTTTATGGAATCTTTTATAGTTATTAATATTTCAGATACATACGATCTGTGGAATCCTCGTAGACGGTCAGGAAGCCTGAGCAGCGACGGGAGCAGCAGCAGCGAAGAGGTAAATCTACCTTGATAAACAAACAAACGACAAATAAAAAACGCGACTAAAAAATTCAATTTCAAATGTTTATTCAGGTAAAGTACATACATACAAGGTGTGATACAAACAATGATGGATTTATAGATAGAGCTAGTACATACAATGCCTTAGATAGAGCTAGTACATACAATGCCTTAGATAGAGCTAGTACATACAATGCCTTAGATAGAGCTAGTACATACAATGCCTAAAGCCACTATTACGCAAAGTGTTTCGGGCAGGTTATCTTGAGGTTATCTTGAGATGATTTCGGGGCTTTAGTGTCCCCGCGGCCCGGTCCTCGACCAGGCCTCCACCCCCAGGATGCAGCCCGTGACAGCTGACTAACTCCCAGGTACCTATTTACTGCTAGGTAACAGGGGCATTCAGGGTGAAAGAAACTTTGCCCCTTTGTTTCTGCCTCGTACAGGAACGTTCCTGCCTCGGGCAGGAACAACTCTTGAAATGGTTGATTAAATTAAAATGCAGCGTAAGCACGCACAATTGATAATTGAAATTCATTATGTCGGGGGGACAAGGAGCCAGTGTATATATACATGTTAGGCTTATATCGAGGTACCCCCCAAGGTTGAGCTACTGGTCCCTCTCCGGGATGAAACCCGCAACAAGCTGATTAGCTCCTAGGTACCTATTTTCTGCTAGGTGAACAGGTGCATTATGTGAAAGAAAACACGCTCAACCATTTCCCCCTCCCATATCCCCCCGGTATTCGAACCCGAACTTCCCGATTGTAAATCGAGAACAAACCTGCATTTTGGTGGGTTGGTGTAAATATAATAATAATAATAATAATAATAATAATAATAATAATTATTATTATTATTCAGGTAAAAGTACATACATACAAAATGAGTTACAAACATAATGTTGGATTTCTAGACATCTATTACATACTGTACCTAAAGCCACTAATACGTTCAGGGTTGCTGGCAAGATATGGGAAAAAACTTGGTTTTTAAGACTTGAAACTAATTATCAAAAGTATGAATTGAACTGAAGTAGGAAAAAAATGAATGACAGTAATTACATGATGAATGAAACAGCAAAAATTGCAACAGAACAGCAGAAGTAATTTTAATTAACTAAAATGCATGTTCTATAACTACAGTTACAATGACTATGTGAACTAACTGTATAAATTGCATGCTTTAAAAATAAGCACTGTATTTTTTGACAATGAGAAGTAGAAATAATTACAAGGGAGAACAAAACTAAAAACAAATTTGCGACAAATTTTTGGCTTATAAAGTCATGAATAATTTCCTGAGAGTGAAGTGTGCCCAAATGCTCTGACTCGATGTGCCTCAAGAAAAAAGTAGGTTACCTTCCGTCGCTCACACATGACCTCAGGTAGTTCTTTGAGTGGTTTTAGAACAGAAAATGGTCTCCGCCTTGCAATTGGATACCAGGCACAATTGCACTCTCGGAGAAATATATTCATTAGGAAGTCTGAAGAGAGGTTGTTTGACACAATTTAATTTAACTTATGCAATGCAAATCTACACTCGGTTCCATTCCCAAGCCGGGGGTTATAGACCCTTAGGACAGCAAGAAATCAGACGATGTGCAACCAGTTGTAATTCCTCATTCTTCAGTTGCAGAAGATTGGACGAGAATCCATACTTCGTGTTCAGTTCCAAGAGCCAGTCCGTGTACTCAAGGTGCTTCACAGGTGATCGGGGACAGGTAGAAAACATTGATGTGAAATATTTCACATGGTTGGACTGACGACTCAGTTTCCTGCGCTGGTCCATCATAGATCTCCAGCCCCGCACTGGTCTTGTGTTTTCTGGTGACCTCTTGCCTGTAGGTGACACGGCCTTGGCAGTGTGGCTCTTTTTAGAATCGTCAAACATCCCCGTCTGGAATCAGACAGAGAAACAGACTTGGTGGTTTATATTAAACTCAGTCTAACGTCAAACAAATAATATCGGCTGCATACAGAAGCTTGGTTAATATAAGAATTGCCTTTAGGAATCTGAGCAAAGAGTCGTTCGGGATCTTATTCCCTTTAATTCAAACCAAATCTGGAATATGCGACACTTGCGTGGAGTCCTTATTTCGTTAAACACAAAACGAAACTGGGGAAAGTTCAGATATGCCACCAGACTAGTTCCAGAGCTGAGGGGAATGTATTACGAGGAAAGACACAAACAGTTAAATTACACGACATTGGAAAAGAGAAGATTCCTCGTATGAGATTACCACGTAGAAAATACCGAGAGGAATAGACAGGTCCGACAAGAACAGACTAACTATCATGACTACTACACAAACAAGCGAACACAGATGGAAACTAAGTACCGAAATGAGCCACAGAGATAAATTAAAGAATTTGTCAGTACAGGGAACAAATTGAATACACTTCCAAGTGTAGTAGAAGCCATCTCCACACAACCTAAAATGCAGATATGACAGGGGCCCAATAGGCTCCGGAACCTATAATCTGCTCAATAGACGATTAAGAAATGGGGACCCAAGAGCTGTAGCTCATCCTGTAAATACAACTGGTCACACAAAGATAATAGAGTACCTGTGTCGGTAATAATAACCCGTTGTTGTTGTTGTTGTTGTTGCCACAGGTGTTCAGCAGGTCGGGCAGCTCCTCCTCCTCCAGCCACTGTCACCACCTGGTCTCCGAGCGCCCGGAGGACCAGCGCGCGCTCCTCAAGCTCTCCGTCGCCGCCGGCATCTCCCTCGTCTTTATGGTGAGTGGCACTGTGCCTGGCTTCTGTATGGTGAGTGGCACTGTGTCTGGCTTCTGTATGGTGAGTGGCACTGTGCCTGGCTTCTGTATGGTGAGTGGCACTGTGTCTGGCTTCTGTATGGTGAGTGGCACTGTCTGGCTTCTGTATGGTGAGTGGCACTGTGTCTGGCTTCTGTATGGTGAGTGGCACTGTGTCTGGCTTCTGTATGGTGAGTGGCACTGTGTCTGGCTTGTGTATGGTGAGTGGCACTGTGTCTGGCTTGTGTATGGTGAGTGGCACTGTGTCTGGCTTCTGTATGGTGAGTGGCACTGTCTGGCTTCTGTATGGTGAGTGGCACTGTGTCTGGCTTGTGTATGGTGAGTGGCACTGTGCACTATGTAAAATCAGAAGAAAGAATAATCAAAAATAAAATTTCAATTGGAGTGAAACAGGCAGCCCCAGACCAAAAATTGGAGTTCATTATCTACCACCAAACACAAATGGCTGCTGGTTTAATACTCAAGAACAACCCCCGATGGACAACACAACCCTCTCCAACAAAAGCAAACGTCGTATACTACTTTACATGCCCCAGTGAAGAATGTCACCTTCGATCTACCAATCAGAGCCTTTTGGGGTATGGCGCTCGTCAAAGCCCTGCAGGGGAGTGACCTGCCATCCACTATCTGGTGTCCTCAGTAACCATACGCAAAGGGACAGCAACACGGAACTCGCTAGGAACTTGCTAGTGTATAATAACAAAAATCCTGGAATCTACAACTGTCCCAAGAAGATTACGAATCCTGGAATTGTAAAGTTCCAAACTTTCGGAAGTTTAAAATTTAGGATACCGAAGCATAAAGGAATAGTTTTTAGGATTGGCTTACCCTTACACCTCTTGGGTGGCTTAATCTTCGTCAATCAGTCTATCTTCTGTACTGCTTGAAAATGTGTTCAGTCTCGAAAGTGCTCAGATTAGTTTCATTTTATCGTTACTATTTGAATATTTAAACATTACCAATGCATGTCTCTTTTATTATTATTGTTACATTATATATCTGCTCCCTTTGTCGCCGCTCGCCACCTTTCTCTGGTCTCTCCTGCAGGTGCTGGAGTACATCGGAGGTTACTACTCGTCCAGCCTGGCGGTGCTGTCCGACGCTGGCCACCTCCTCTGCGACTTCTGCGGGTTCCTGGTGTCTCTGGTGGCCATCTGGCTCATGCGCAGACCTCCCTCGCGCTTCATGAGCTTCGGCTACTACCGCGCAGGTCAGTCTTTCCGTGCCTGGAGGGCGTGTCCCCCCTGACACGCCCTCCCGGCAAAGTGGAGTTTGCCATTAACAGTTACGTGGCCTTGGCGGCCCCAACAAAACTACTCAGTGAATAGTAATAGTAGACATAACTCCTGTATCAGACTAGACTTTATCCGAACTCGGTATATTTTACAGACTTATAGGCAGCGACGTACAATCGAACTCCAGTTTGCCCGATGACCTCCATTCATCAGGCAAACTGGAGTTGGAGTTTACTTGTGGTCTTGTTGTGGTTCAGAGGTGCTGGGGTCGGTGGCCAGCGTGTTGATGGTGTGGCTGGTGACGGGGCTCCTGGTGGCCGCCGCCCTTCACAGACTTCTCTACCAGAAGTACCTTCTCGACCCTGATCTCATGCTCATCATGGCCGCCATCGGCATCATCGTCAATATTGTGTAGGTAGCGTGTTTGTGTGTGTGTGTGTGTGTGTGTGTGTGTGTGTGTGTGTGTGTGTGTGTGTGTGTGGGCGTGTGTGGGCATGTGTTGTGTGTATGTGTGTTTACTAGTTGTGTTGTGTTTTTGCGGGGGTTGAGCTTTGCTCTTTCGGCCCGCCTCTCAACTGTCAATCAACTGTTTACTAACTACTTTTTTTTTCTTTTTTTTTTCACACCACACACACACACACACACACCCCAGGAAGCAGCCCGTGACAGCTGACTAACTCCCAGGTACCTATTTTACTGCTAGGTAACAGGGGCACTTAGGGTGAAAGAAACTTTGCCCATTTGTTTCTGCCTCGTGCGGGAATCGAACCCGCGCCACAGAATTACGAGTCCTGCGCGATATCCACCAGGCTACGAGGCCCCCGATGCGCCCACACACACGCCCACACATGTGTGGGCGTGTGTGTGTGTATGTGTGGGCGTGTGTGTGTGTGGGCGTGTAAATATTACCTTAGACAGTTTCAAGGAACGGTCTTAGTTCCTGGGCCCCGCCTTTCGAGCTGTCGGTCGTCATTTGTAGTGACACTGGACGTCTGTTATAACTACTGTGTGGTGTAGTGGGTAAAGTGCATGGAGCGCCTAGCTGTCTGGGTTCGAACCCTTCACGAAAATGAGTTTTCTGATATATATTATATATTATATATTTAAATTTCTTTTTTTAGCAAAACGTATACAAATAATTACATAAACCTTTACATTAGTGAGTTGAAGGTAGAGTGTTAGCATATAAGTATTTTTTGAACTCTTATTATTTTTACGTGATACACGAATGACACCTACAAAGTAAAAATATATGTAAGTAAAAATATATATAGGTAAAAATAAAATTATTTGCAATATTGTTGATATAATATATATAATTTTTTGACATGCGTCGACGGAAATAGATTTATTGCAATTTTTTCATCAGAATTATTATTTTTTTATCTGTCTCTGTCTGTCTGTCTGTCTGTCTCTCTCTCTCTCTCTCTCTCTCTCTCTCTCTCTCTCTCTCTCTCTCTCTCTCTCTCTCTCTCTCTCTCTCTCTCTCTCTCTCTCTCTCTCTCTCTCTCTCTCTCTCTCTCTCTCTCTCTCTCTCTCTCTCTCTCTCTCTCTCTCTCTCTCTCTCTCTCTCTCTCTCTCTCTCTCTCTCTCTCTCTCTCTCTCTCTCTCTCTCTCTCTCTCTCTCTCTCTCTCTCTCCCTCTGACGTAGCCATACCATAGTTACTTTCCCCCAGTTAAACCGTCTCATGGTTACGTCCCCCACAGCATCGTAGGGGTCCTGCACGGGTGTGGGTGCCGCGGGAACTACCATGGTGCCCACAAGAGTGCCCGGGGCAACATTAACCTGAGAGCGGCACTCATCCACGTGGTGGGTGACACCCTGCAGACCCTCGCCGTTCTCATGGCTGCCCTCGTCGTCAAGTTCTGGGTGAGTCCTGCAGGAGGGTGACCTCTGGTGTGTCCTGCAGGAGGGTGACCTCTGGTGTGTCCTGCAGGAGGGTGACCTCTGGTGTGTCCTGCAGGAGGGTGACCTCTGGTGTGACTGTGAGGTCTCTACAGGTTTAGAGTGGATTCGTAGGTTCTGAAAGGATTAATAAATAACACGAAATATATATACGCTATAATATTAGTGTAGTCTTATTATTGCATGTTGTTTACCTGGAAGATGTCCATTAAACTATAATTTAAAAACGAGTAAACACACACACACACACACGCACACACGCACACACGTCGCCGCGGGAGTCTGTAGGAGACACGCGATTAGTGAGGTCCGCGGAAATTCGTCAATTTCTCGGGACATTGAAGGAGTATAGAGGCTAGATCATAGTATTTGGCCTCTCGCAGTGTGTAGCTAGCAGGGTGCAACATAGCATAGTCATATCGCTAGCGATAGTGCGAAGATTTGGC